GGGTGAACACCGGTGTTATAGTAATATTCTATTCATCACCCTTGTGAAAATTTATCCCCTGAGCCCTGATCTCAGTAGTTTGTCACTTTAAACAACAATATGCCACACAGTGCTGAAGCATCTTCTGCTGCTTTGMTTTAGCKYAGTAGGAAGGGCAACCACTGCAAAARGTTGGCTGTATTTAATACGTCCCTGCAGACAATGTGGGGTCTACTCTCCKTGTCTGTGAGGTACAATATCTCTTTGTCTAATAAATGATATATCATGTTTTTAGGATACCTACAGCATCAGCTCTGTCCTCCTACAGAGATCAGAGACAGACCTTTGTGCCGCAGATGACAGATATCGGTTACATCTACAATAGTTTGGAGGCACAGCTCTTGCAAGCACAAGATGTTAAAATACAGTCCTATGAAAACGTTTGGGCAGCCTTGTTAATTTTCCTGATTTACCTTTGTAAATCATTGATTGTTTGGATTAAAAATATCAGTTAAATGTATCATATATGGGACAAACACAGTGAAATTTGAGAAGTAAAATGAAGTTTATATGATTTACAGWAAGTGTGCAATAATTGGTTTAAACAAAATTAGGCAGGTGCATAAATTTGGGCACCGTTTTCATGTTGTTGATTTCAAAACCTTTAGAACTAATTATTAGAACGCAAATTTGGTTTGGTATGTTCAGTGACCCTTGACCTCCATACACAGGTGACTCCAATTATGAGAAAGGGTATTTAAGGGGGGCAATAGTAAGTTTTTCTCCTCTTTGCATCTTCTCTGAAGAGTGGCAGCATGGYAGTCTCAACAACTTTCAAATGAGCTGAAAACAAAGATTGTTCACCGTCATGGTTTAGGGGAAGGATACAGAAAGCTCAGTCAGAGTCAACCCACAGACCAGCACCAAAGACCTACAACATCATCTTGCTGCTGATGGAGTCACTGTGTATCGTTCAACTATTCAGCACACTTTACACAAGGAGATGCTGTATGGGAGAGTGATGCAGAGGAAGCCTTTTCTTCACCCACATCACAAACAGAGCTGCTTGAGGTACTGTATGCTAAAGCACATTTGGACAAGTCAGCTTCATTTTGGAATAAGGTGCTGTGAACTGATGAAACTAAAGTTATTTGGGCAGAACAAGGGCCATTATGCATGGAGGAAAAAGATCACAGTATTCCAAGAAAAACACCTGCTACCTACAGTGAAATGCGGTGGTGGTTCCATCATGCTGTGGGGCTGTGTGGCCAGTACAGGGACTGGGAATGTTAAAGTTGAGGGACACATGGATTCCAACCAATATCAGTAGAATGTCCAGGAATCAGTGACAAAGCTGAAGCTGCTGAAGCCGGGGCTGCATCTTCCAACAAGACAACCACCCTGAACACTGCTCAAAATCTACTAAGGCCTTCATGCAGAGGAACAAGAACAACGTTCTGGAATGGCCATCTCAGTCCTCAGACCTGAATATTATTGAAAATCTGTGGTGTCACTTAAAGAGAGCTGTCCATGCTGGAAACCATCAAACCTGAATGAACTAGAGATGTTTTGTAAAGAAGAGTGGTCTAAAATACTTTCAGCCACAATCCAGACTCTCATTAGAGGCTATAGGAAGCATTTAGAGGCTGTTATTTCTGCGAAAAGTGGAGCTACTAAATATTGAGGTAAGATTTTGTTATGGTGCCCAAATTTATGCACCTGCCTAATTTTGTTTAACCAATTATTGCACACTTTCTGTAAATCATATAAACTTCATTTCGCTTCTCAAATATCACTGTTTGTCCCCTATATGATATATTTAACTGATATTTTTAATCCAAACAATCAATGATTTATAAAAGTAAATCAGGAAAAATTAACAAGGCTGCCCAAACTTTTTCACGACTGTAAGTGTTCTTCAGATAACTGATCTTTTCTTGTCTGAATTCATAAACTGAATGAGTTTTATATTCCTGGTAGCAAAGTTCAGAAGACACATAAAGAGGCATATAGATCCATCGGTTTACTGTGGGCTGGACTTTTTGTCTCTGTTTCTTCTTGCCGCAAGAACCTGAGCATGCAGGAACCTTCCGTCCATGAGCAAACTTTTGAGGTATAGAGAGGAAAATTACAGGAATGTAAAGAACTCATCTTCATCACTTTGAAAGTGAGAGAGGCTGTAAGGATCTCCTGGAGCAGGTCAAGGTCTGTATTTTTCACGTTTGTTGACATTCTCGTATCAAATTCTTCATTATTGAGGACAAGTTTGTTGCTGTCTTCATTTCCATCATTGGAGCTTCTCAGGAGACATGGGAAGAGATTGTAACTGTGGTATCCATGATGTGTCTCTGGTTGCGCCCCAGCAGAAGAGTGTCCATCTGCAGACATGGTTGATTTTCCCACAGGGATGGAAGCAGGCTCTATCTCAGCAGCGGCACCTGTAGCAGTGGTGCCTCCACAAATGTTTCTGTTTGTTGTCATTTGACAAAAAGAGCAATGTGGGACTTATACATTTTTCTTATCCAGTCATTTTTAACTTTTTGTTGCACTGAGAAATGATAAATTACACAGAAAGCAGTCAGGTTCTTTAGCCAGTAAATGTGGACCATATCAGGTCCAGGTCCAGTCCAGCTCTTCATTCCTCAGACTCTGTCGTGGATGTCTGCCGCTGTGATGGATACTGGTTCTTATTCCGGGAGATCGCTGTGTCCGAATCTTATGTGGAAGTTATACATTTCTCTTATCCAGTCATTTTTAACACATATCCTGCATTTAACGTCAACACAAGCATTTTGTGCCGATTTCATTTGCTCTGCCACACCCACCCCTTTAGTTTTAATCAGCGCACATACCACTCACCTACTGATGGCCTTATTTAAACATGCCCCTGCTTCACTATCCTCACCAGATTATTGAAAGCCTTTTGGTGTGTAGATACTCAGCATTTTTTTCCATGATTGATCTCTTCGTTTTTGACTCTACTTTGCGTTTTGGATTTCCCTGCTTCGCCTTGCTTCTGTCGCATTGTTGCCGCTGATCTATTTTCTGTGCCCCAACTTCTGAGTTTTGCCCGTCTTTTGGATAAGTTTTGGATTTGTGAGTCCTGGTTTTCGACCCCTGCCTGTCCCTGTAACTACCCCTTTGGATTTTGGATCCATCGTTGACTATCTGTGGCAGTCCCATCGGGACAACCCCAAGCTCCACTCCTGCTCAGCTGTCTGTGACATCACTGCCCTCGCAGCTGCCTTTCTGGAAAAAGTTGGTATTTTTTCTGAGAACGTTAGTGGTTTCATTTTGAATATTATTATTCTCCTGCTTCTTGGACAGCCTCTAAACTGTTTTTCCTCCTCAGAGAATCTGGTGACAATATCTATCCCACCATTCACACATTTCTAAATAAACTTTGTTTAAACGAGTTGTGTCCGGTTGAATTTACAAATCCTCTGTTTGGATTATGACAGTTTTGTTTATCCCATTAGTGTGTTCTCCTTCTCTGATATACATGAATCTACTGTATTTTTTTCACAGTTAGTTCTGATCAGTAGATTCAACTCTGTTTATCTGATATGTTGTTTTCCACTTTTTGTCTCGTTAGAATAAGACATGGGACAGTTGACGAAGCCATGGTCTTTCTGGCCACTTTAACTCAGACAGGTCTCGGCTTTGTATCCAAGGTTTTCCACAGCGACAACATTTATATTAGTGGGGTGTTCTCTCACCAGGTGGTCTATTGCCTGCTCTTTGCAGCACTTTGCAACTTGTCCAGGATAAATTATTTATTTCTAAGGAAACGTTTCTTCTTATCCAGTCATTTTAACACATTTCCTGCCTCTAATGTTGACACAAGCTGCCCTCTGTAACTGCGTCCATTTATCCCATTAGTGCATTTTCCTTCTTCCATTAGGTATATGTTATTTATTTTAGCTGCTCTGAAACCATTCATTACTTCTCTCCAACGTACTGGACACATCCTACAGGCTCAACGGTAGAACTCACAATGTGATTTATCACCCAAGTAACAGGCAGAAAATGCTTTCTAAATAATGTTCAGTTATTTTTATTTCATCTTAGTTTGAGCTTGTTTTTCAACCACCAGGCACTAGTCAAAATAATCTTTATTTCTTTGTGCAATCAAATAATTTCTGTTTTAACAAGAATTTGATACAACATACTGAAAAAAAGTTGTGAGAGAAAAAAACAATAGGATATACTAGAATAATTGATATCAGGTGATGTTGGGAGCAGATTCACTAAAACTGTGCAGCTCGTCTTCAGCTCCTTCTCAGCATCATTCACACAAACAGTGCTGATCATGTTCTGATGTAAACACTCTCATCTGCTGCACCAGGTGTGAACAATGTGCATGAGATTTTGATGGATTTGCAAAATGCAAAACTACAAGGTGACAAAAGACACAAACATTGTTAGTAAATCTGGGTCTTTCTAAGAATTTAAAGTGCATGTAATACATATTAATGCATTTTTGGAAAGATAACARTGATTAAAAAAATCACGCTGCTGAGATMAACAGTTGTTGAGATATTTTCATGTGAAGTAACAAGAAGTGAAATCAGTGGGGAATGTCTGAATGTGAACAGAGCATTGCTAAAATGGCCAACAACAGACTGTAGAGAAGAATCTGATGTTTATTTAGATTATTTTGAGTCTGTTCACAAGGTTGAATAAACAGGTCTGAAGCTCCCACTTTGKAAATATCACTTGGTTGATAAATGCTGCAGAAATGCTAAAACGTTTTATTAATAATGTTTATAAATTAGTTGTATTGATAACTGTGCACTTGGCTGTCAGCACCTGGATATCAGCAATAAATTTAAGGGAACCTTTTAATTGTTGCTCATGAAGTAGATGAAAACTGTCAGCTCCAAGGAAGGTGACCCAAGAACCAAAAGAACAGCTCTGCAGTCTCACACAGAGAACGAGGTGCTTTTAAGTCATTTCCATTTGTTCAACTGACGGTCGGAACACATTAAACACAGACTCAAAACGTTGTTTTTTCCTACCACCATCTTGTTGAGTGAGACCCAGCAGTCAGACGGAAAGTCTTGCAACATGGGAACGAGGAACTGAAGGCAGCCGTCCCAGTGACACAGCAGCAGCATCATCCCAATCAGGTTGAATATTCGCATCACAGCGCTGGCCAGGTCATAGGTCATATGAAAGATCTGTCAGCAAAAAGAGAGGAGAAGTGAGGTGGGGGGCGGGGGGTGTGAAGGAACAAGCTGTGTTTCTACAGAGTCGCAGCTGAATGTCTGGGAAACAGAGAAATCTGTTCTCATCTGTTTCCTCCAATGTTTCTGCAACTGTTTCGCTGTATAAACAGATTTAAATGTATTTGTCAGACTTTTAACCTCCATGTTGACAAATTGCTTATTTACTTTGCAAATTAGATCTTTATTACCAWGAAAACACAAGAAATCATTTTGTATTCTGGATTTTTCAGGATTCATTTTGTATTCAAGCTCTTTTATTTTTTAGTAAATGTTTTGGGGACAATTAATGACAAATAATATGTTATTTGTAACAAGTTAAAATTATTTAGTATTATTACTTGAAGCATTGAAAGCAATGTGGTGTATTTATACTGTATAACTCAATCAGATTTAGAGATTGAGCTACAATTTGTTGTGGCAGTAGCAGATAGTCCCCAGCATGAATGGGCTGGGTGTTAATAGATTGATAAACTTCAAGATGGTGACCACAGTTACCTTTAACAATACAAAAAATAGCTAATATTCAGTAAGTTTAACAATTATTGAGTGACCTACAATAATTGCCAAAACATACTTGGAAGATTGTTCAAAATGGCCACTGCAGCTAACTTTGCAAGAGCCTATAATTCTAGAACTATCATTGTAGAGATGTTGAGCTACGTTTTGTTGTGATATGACATAATTTCCAACACATAGTATGAATGATAAAAGACTGCTAAATCCTCTGGTAATGTTGTGGTATTCAAGACCAAGACCCCTTTTTGATGATCTCAATCTTGTCTCGGACTCGACCGTATTTGTTCTCGGACTTTTATGCCTCAGACTCTGAGGCACTCCAAGAAAGTGAGCAGTGGTTGTCTCAGAGCAGAACATGTCTGCAAAATCTTCAGTAAAAGAATCTGGCTACATAGATCATCTTCTTTTTTTTTTCTTTTTATTTATTGACCTTAATTTAACCATCCATCAAGATCACAGATCTCTTTTGCCTGAAGGCAACCTATTGTGCATGTTTTTGTTCTGTGGGGGAAACCAGGGTACTCGGAGAAAACCCACACAAACACGAGGAGAACATACAAACCACACAGAAACACCCCAGGTCCAAACTGGGACCTGGGGTCAAACATTAGTAAGCTAATGGTCAGCAACAGTGAGCCAGATCATAAAGAATATACAGGTGCTAGTCATAAAATTAGAATATCATGAAAAAGTAGATTTATTTCAGTAATTCCATTTAAAAAGTGAAACTTGTATATTATATTCATACATTACATACAAACTCATATATTTCAAATGTTTATTTCGTTTAATTTTGATGATCACAAATGACAACAAATGAAAATCTCAAATTCAGCATATCAGAAAATTAGAATATTACTGAAGACCAATAAAAACAAAGGATTCATAGAAATGTTGGCCAATGGAAAAGTATGAACATGAAAAGTATGAGCATGTACAGCACTCAGTATTTAGTTGGGGCTCCTTTGGCCTGTATTACTGCAGCAATGCGGCGTGGCATGGAGTCGATCAGTCTGTGGCACTGCTCAGGTGTTATGATAGCCCAGGTTGCTCTAATAGTGGCTTTTAGCTCTTCTGAATTGTTGGGTCTGGTGTATTGCATCTTCTTCTTCACAATACCCCATAGATTTTCTATGGGGTTAAGGTCAGGAGAGTTTGCTGGCCAATTAAGAACAGGGATACCATGGTCCTTCAACCAGGTACTGGTAGCTTTGGCACTGTGTGCAGGTGCCAAGTCCTGTTGGAAAATGAAWTRMYCATCTCCAAAAAGTTGGTCAGCAGCAGGAAGCATGAAGTGCTCTAAAACTTCCTGGTATGTGGCTGCGTTGACCCTGGACCTCAGAAAACACAATGGACCAACACCAGCAGATGACATGGCACCCCAAACCATCACTGACTGTGGAAACTTTACACTGGACTTCAAGCAACGTGGATGAAGTGCCTCTCTTCTTTTCCTCCAGACTCTGGGACCTTGATTTCCAAAGGAAATGCAAAATTTACTTTCATCAGAGAACATGACTTTGGACCACTCACCAGCAGTCCAGTCCTGTTTCTCTGTAGCCCAGGCAAGACGCTTCTGACGCTGTCTGTGGTTCAAGAGTGGCTTGACACAAGGAATGCGACAGCAGAAACCCATGTCTTTCATACGTCTGTGTGTGGTGGTTCTTGAAGCACTCACTCCAGCTGCAGTCCACTCTTTGTGAATCTCCCCCACATTTTTGAATGGGTTTTGTTTCACAATCCTCTCCACGGTGCGGTTATCTCTCTTGCTTGTACATTTTTTTCGACCACATCTTTTCCTTCCCTTCGCCTCTCTATTAATGTGCTTGGACACAGAGCTCTGTGAACAGCCAGCCTCTTTAGCGATGACCTTTTGTGTCTTGCCCTCCTTGTGCAAGGTGTCGATGGTCGTCTTTTGGACAACTGTCAAGTCAGCAGTCTTCCCCATGATTGTGTAGCCTATAGAACTAGACTGAAAGACCATTTAAAGGCCTTTGCAGGTGGTTTGGGTTAATTAGCTGATTAGAGTGTGGTACCAGGTGCCATCCATTTTGAACCTTTTCACAAGATTCTAATTTTCTGATATGCTGAATTTGAGATTTTCATTTGTTGTCATTTGTAATCATCAAAATTAAARGAAATAAACATTTGAAATATATGAGTTTGTATGTAATGTATGAATATAATATACAAGTTTCACTTTTTAAATTGAATTACTGAAATAAATCTACTTTTTCATGATATTCTAATTTTATGACCAGCACCTGTATTTGTAAAATACCATCCAGGAGAAAGCTTACAGGAACTTGTAAAGTCTGCAGTGCTTCACAGACAGTGGGGACTACGTCAAACTTTTATCTTAGAAAGGAAGTGTGGTGGAAACATTTATTTAACAAGAACAGAAATATGTGATTCAAAGAATAAAGACACTTTATAGAGTGGTCACCTGAGGTTTTTTTTATTGCTCTAAACAGGAACAAAGAGATCAACACAGAGCCAAACAGGTTCTCTGTCAAAAATGTCCCCTTGCTCCCCCTGAGGCAGTTAGGCCTTTTGTAAATACTGTTTAACAAACACCGTCATGTCATCTTAATAAAGCATAATTTCATCCTAAGCACATTGTTGGGTAAAGTGAAAACATAGATAAATACAAGTGATAACTAAGAGTGATTGGTGTTAGCAAATCTTGTTCTGGTTATAATCAGTCGATCTACCAATAAACAGTGTGTCATGAAAAATCTGGGTCATTAATATATGTGATGAATTACTGGATTAAAAAAGTATTTTTTCCATTACAAAGAAAGCTATGTGTAAGTGGTGTTAGCGATGCTAGTTAGCTAAGGTTAGCAATCTGCCCCTGTACCAAAATTGTTTACCCGGCTCTCACYCAWAAAGATTTAGTCAWTATCAGCTTTAGAGTATCTGATGGGAATGACTCTCATCTACTACTACACTAGATTTAAGGATCAATATTTAGTGTGTAAAACTGACTGAGTAACTATCGTGTGTTTTTTATTTCTTTGTGTGTTTTTCATGAGTCCTCAGTTTTCCTCAATCCTGCCACGCCCATCCTCACCTGCACCTTGTTTGATTTAGCTCAGCTGCTTCCTGTATCCCRATCAAGCCTATTTAACCTCTGTTTTCACTTCAGTGTTCAGTGGAGCATTACGCATTTCATCTGACAGTCCCGGTTCCATCCGTTCCAGTTTGTGGTTCTGTGTGTCTCCTTGTTCTCTTCTCCACTTTGCAGGTTTGTTGTTCTGCCACGTCAGCATTTTGTTTTTGTTTATAATAAAGTGGAGTTTATTTTTGATATCCTCAGGTTGGTCTGCATTTCTTAAGTCCAAAACCTCCACAGAACCGTGACAATTAAAGTTATTTTTTTATTTGCTAAGAGTGATTAGCTATAGTGACCACCATAATTGAAGTGAATTAAGTGGACTCTGAAAGATAATCAGTTATAAAAGTATATCACATAATTCATCTTTGATAGTTTGAATTAAAATGTGRATATTTTTCATGAGATATTTTTTCAAACAGGCAAGGTTGACTCCAGCGGTTAATGCCAAAGTTTAAAACTAAATCTTGTGTGATCTATTAGTGCTCAGACTATGTGTTGGTTATAGACCTTGGCAAAAAAAAAATACATACAGAATTTAACTTAATAATTGTAGTTGTAGGCATTTTTGTTTTTGGTAGTTCATTTAGCTGTGGCAGAAATCACTAATCTGGTTGACTCCAAAGGTTAATTAGTTGTATATCCCATGTATAATTTGTGAGAGTTTAATTTAAAAAATGTCCACCGGTTCATCCTCAATTTAAAAAGCGACAGTCCCATTGAGATACATTGTCTTATTTTTACCAGAGTCCTGAGGGAAGCTGAGCCAACTACCCACTGTTTGGCAGTCAGCTGCCCCACCCCGTACCCCCCAATCCACCAGCCTCCCCTGCTCTCAGCAGACAGACACACACAGGCAGAGGTAATTACATGATTACCTAGCTTTCATACTGACAGGTGATAAAGACTCTAATAAACCAATCCTAGCATGTTGCAGGGAGGGTTTTGTCTGACCTGATCATCGGCAACAAGGTTTATCCAACATTAGCGTCACTCATCTGTTTACTTATTTTGTTAAGATGACGAATATGCCGTCGTCAGACAGAAAAGTGGACAGCTGCAGCCGGGACAGCACAGTGGTGGAAACAGTCATGAATATGGTCCAAGCCTTACAAACATGGATCACCGGGGGGAGACTACAAGCCAGAACATGTAACATGTTGCAAATGTGTGTTTCTACATGTATGTGTACAGTAGTTTTACATCTGGGCCAAATGGCTGCTTCACTAGATCCTAAGTAACAGTATTTATCCACAGAGGGACAGGAGAGCTGTCCTACAGGCTGGAGAACTAGGCCAGACACTTCCTGTCTGCTGAAATATATATATTTTCTGCATACTAGTAAGCCT